CACACACACACACACACACACACACACACACACACACACTCAGCTCAGGGCGTGCAGAGTGAAGTTTTGTGTTTAGTCACATTGTTGAGCAGTTGGTCTGCAGACTCACAGAGGGAAACGCTGGCGCTGAGTTTCTGTTTGTCAGACAGGAAATGCAGATCAAACCAAAGAGAATAAAAGAATAAAACGCTGGTTATCCTGAGAAACTGCAGAGTTAAAAACCTGTTTTAATCTCAGCCCCCCCCCCCCCAATCTGGGTCTGACCACAGATCAGTTTTAAAGGTGTTTCTCTGAGTGATTGAGTGATGCAGCAGTAACCTGCAGGTCGAGCTGCTCACAGACGCTGGTTTCTGGAAGTGTTCCTCAGCGCATGCACTGATGTTTTAATGCAGTGCTGCCGACGCTCACAGAGAGAGATGTGCTATATATATCTATATACATATATATGTTCACAGTAAGGAACATTATTTTGAAACTGTTCTAGTTTGAAGGCGCAGATTTTTGCCGAGTGGTCAGCCTCTGCTCATCTGTCCTTCTAGGAAACTCTGCCTCCTAAACATGCTCTTTTTATACCTGATCATGTTACCAACCCGTCTTTCAGCTACAAAGTGTGTAATGATAAGTGTTACAGCTGCATTCTGCCTGAAAGCCACCAGATGGCAATAACTGTGCAAACAGACATAGAAAACAGCTTTTTGTTGACCCCTGTAGACATCTTCCTGCTGAGTTTGGGGCTCAGACTATCGTTGTGGGTCACATTGAATAATAATAAGTCTACATTTCAAATGGAGGATTATTTGTGGTATGCTCATTAGCTAATGACTTATGACTGATGGTCCATTAGCCAATGAGCTGCTGGTTTCACAGTGAGATCGGCCCGGCTTTGTTACATCAGGGTATTTGACTGCTGTCTACGCTGCAGTAATGTTCTGTTAATGAAGCGCGCTCTCCTTCTTCAGCCAGGTGTTCTCCTCCCTGCCGTAACGGGGCGCTGTGTCGACAGTTTAACAGGTGCGTGTGCAGACAAGGTTTCCATGGTTACCACTGTCAGCTGCCCCTTTCTGCACCAGGACGCCTGCTGACATCCATCCACCCGACAGAGTTCCCGGTCCACCTCAGACCCCTCCGGATCCCACCACAACCAGCTCTGAGCCCCCAGAGAAGCACCAAACCTGCTGCCAGCTCACCTCCACCCGAACCTCCACCTGAACCTTCAGACCCGAACCCGACTTCTGCTCAGGCTGATGGAGAGGAGGACACAAAGGTCCCTGACTCTGGTCCTGCCAAAGCTGTAGGCTTTGGAGGTCAAACTGAAGAGAATGATGGAGCTGACAGTGGAGGAGGTGTTTCCAAGCGGTTTCTGACTCGTGAGGAGAACCAAGCCTCCCCAAAATATCCCACTGTAATCCGGTTCGATCCAGATCCAGATGAAGGGCTGACAGCCTCCAATCAGAGTTCTGATTCTGAATCTGAAGCAGAGGAGAGGAGACCAGGCACTTTCGAAATGCCTCCACCCGAGTTTGATCCAGGACAGGATGAGGAGGATCAGAATGAGGGGAAGGAGAAAAAGATGGCGGGAGCAAAAAAGCTGAGGTAACAAAAAACTCATCTTCTTTATCTTCTCATCTCCTCTTTTTCCTTTCCTAACCTCCTTGTTTCCACTCCTCTGTCCTGGGTCACAAAAATAAAATCCCTCCTGAGTCTTTTCTGGTCCACTCTTCCTCGACCTTGATGGGAAACTTTAACTCTGTAACTCTCTTTATTTAAGCTCAGAGCGTGTTTAAGGTGGGGGGACAGTCTAACCCCCTCTCCTTTCACAAAGGATCCTCCAGTGTCTCCTTTGCTAAAGGAGATGATGAAGGATGCACTGAGGCACCTTTCCTTAGAATCTGGAGAGTTTAACCAGCTGTTTTGTAGCTCCTCTTTGTCCTTCTCTCTCCTGCTTTTTCTTCTTCCTCATCATCACTGCACAGTCAGTGCCGTTCTCTGTTCAGACACCAGGTGGAGTTCTTTATTTGATTATATACGCTGTACTGTGCACTGTATGTTGTACAAAGATCAGGCACTACTTCCTGAAGCTGCTGGAGGCTCAAATTTTTTTTAAATGTTCCAGAATCAGCTGGGAAAACTTCTCCATCCATCCTGATCTTTGTTCCACAAATCCGTCACCTCAGATCCAGATGAGGAGATGGGAAGAAAGACCTAAGCTTTCACTTCTCCGGAGAGTCTGACCTCTGCTGAAATCCAGATTCACAAACTGAAAGTCAGCACAACCCTTGAGTCATAGGTCAGGTGGTGGAGGTCAAAGGTTAGAGCCATGGTCCCTACAGGCTGTGGGAGAATGTTTTATGTTCTGTCTGCTGCAGATTAAACAGAAGTTTTTCACAGTAAAGACTTTTTTCATCACAACAACAAGAGGGTTGCTAAGGATGCCTCTGAGTTTGTGTAGATTTTGGATAAACACCAAACCCCTCTGATCTGGGACAGAGTGTCAGCAATTCATCTCTTTCCTTCTCTGGTTTGAAATCATGGCTTTCGGTATCTGCTGATAATTTCGGTATGACTAAACAAGGATTTAATAATTCATCAACACTTATTTATCAACAAAAACCTAAAGTTTTTTTTTCTAGCTGCACATCAAACCTGCATTAAGATCAGGTCGGTGTTGTTTCAGTGTCTTAAGCTGACATCATCCTGAGGACGGCTTGAGAAACTTCCTCTTGATGAGGAAGGTTTTTACCAACACCTTACCGTTAGGTGTCTGTTGGTACCTTTGTACTGATGCAGTGTGAAATGAATGAGTTGTTAAAAAAACATTCAGCATTTCTGATGAAGTAAACTCAGAACAACACGGACTCAGATGTGATAGATCTGGTTGCTGATATCTGATCCAGGATTTTGAGTAAGGATCGGATCAATATTGTCAACATCGTGTCACTTACCAAACGATGTTAACTCATCATTTTGAGCTTGCACTCACCTTTACAGGCTACGCTTCAAAAACCCGTTGGTCTAACTAACAATCTTGAAAGTACAGCTTTTTGAATTTACAGCAATTCGTTTTACTTTTAATAAATCCAGCACTGATTTACGTGTCTAAACTAAAAGCATGATGAAGTAAAAGGTTAACCCCACAAAATTTAAATTATCAGTCCATACAAGCTTGAAAGAACATCTTATGGACAGGAACTCCAGAAAGTGGGAGTTCTCGAGTATTTATAGAGTCTTTGGTTGGAAGAAGTTTGACACCCCCCCCCCAGAGGGTTAAACTGGTTGAAGTTATATTTTTTCTTCTAGTTGAAATAATGTTCAGAAGCTGCATGTTTGGAACAGGCTTTTCAGATCTCTCCAGAGCTCTAAATCTAGAGCCGGTTTTGTCTGTACTGTGCTTTTTGTGGCTCATAAAAAGCGACAAAGTGGCAGCTGTAACATTTAAGTTCAGGAATGAAAAATAAACTTTGCATCAGACTGTAGGGCGTCTCTGTATTATCAGCTCCAGCAGATTAATCTGTGCTGTTTGTTCACTCTGCTGCTGCTGCACCACTGTTTTCTATCACTCTATTTATGGCCACTTGAAATCATTCTCTCAGTTTACTGCCCTACGAAAGCATAACACTGGAGCTACACTGGGTCAGATGTATAATCTGTAACTGACATTCTGTTTGATTTCCTGTGAAAACAGCTTTTTTTTTTTTTTTAAAGAAGACTAAAAATATATCAGACACGCTGCCCTCAGTACCTGGCCAGCTGAACAACAACATAATTTTACAAGCTAACATCATGCCAGCTAAAATTAGGCTCCAGCATCCTAAAAGTACTTTTCGTTTGAAAAACAGCTTAATTATATTCTCACATCAAATGAGAGTTTTTAGCTAAGTGGGAATGTGCCCAAGTTAGAGCCACTTCACAAAGGTTTTCAGTAACAACGGCAAACAGGTGCTAACAGCAGCTAACAGGCAAAAACAGCAGTGCTTACTGACAGGAAATTACAACAGTTCTCATCAACAATTTACCTCAGTGTCACTGTCATCAATCAGCGAGGCTGACTCGTCGACAGTGTAAGGAATAATACGCAGAGACATGTCAAAATGTCATAAAAAATCAAGTAAATGTCTAAGCAGTGATCAGTGACCATGGTCCACTCATTCAAGTGACTGCAATTCCAGGCAGAGTTCAGTGACTGATGTTTGTTACCTATCTTGACACAAAATACTAGTAAGCGTGCAAAATTTTGTTGGGCTTCAGATTTTCTCCAGTATAATTTGAGGGATCGTTGATAACATAATGATATAAATCATGTGGCATGAAGTCCGGGAAAGTGCCAGGGACTTCACACCAACACTTGTTTACTCATAGTTGCCATAGTTTATCTTATCTGCATAATATTTGGTATGTGTTTCACTAACTTGAGGTGTCAAGATTGTTACACACGCAAAATGGCTGACAAGCACTAAGTGGTCACGTGTCTGCAAAACCTCTCTAAAAACATGCTAACAGTGGCTGAAGTTTTAGAAAGATAGTAAATATGAATAAAATTATTTTAAAAGATGCTAACTACAATTAAAGTTATAAAAGATTAACTTAATAACTTACTATTAACTTACTATTAAATGAACTTATCTAATTAGCTATCTGCTAGCTATCAGTTATTACTGTTCAGCTTGTAGTGCCATTACTGTTCAGCTGTCAGTGTTATTACTGTTCAGCTGTTAGTGTTCAGCTGTCAGTGTTATT